GATAACTCAATTTATTCCGTCGTTTGATGTATTTTATTTTTTAGAGCAATGATTTGTACTTTTTTCCGAATTAAATGAAATTATTATACAAAATAAAATTAATATGTAAGCATACCCCTGACGCCACACGGTTTCACTATTTATTTTCCATAACATTAATTCGTCACGCATGGATATCGTGGCTGTAATGTTACGTCACATATCACTCGATCAGCTGATGTCTACCTATCGAATCCAAACACAGCCTGCGAAACACATCGGAACGGGAAACAAAACATCGTCGAGCGCTGCTCTGTTTTGGTTTTCGATTGGGAAGACTTTTTGTGTTTTGTGGATTTTATTATTTATTTTCAAACATGTCAAGCATTGGTAAATATATTCATTTTCTACATAGCGCTGAGGCTGTTGCAGAAATCCAAGCGTACTTTGGCTTGGAGAAAATTAGAACGGAAGATTCGGCTAGGCCTCATGTTTCTGATCACAGCGGCACAGACAATGGAGCAATACCGGCTTCAACAAAGGGCAATACTTACCAAAGGAAACACGATGAATTTGAAGTGTCAAAATGTGCAACACCAAGTCATGTTGCTGAAGAAACCGAATCGAATCCTTTAGACTCTGTTATTATCAAAAACAAATTTTGGTATTATTTATTTTGCTTCGGTGCTGAACTTGGAAACAAGTATTTCTATCTTGTGTTTTATCCTTTTTTCATGTGGAACTTTTCACCATGGCTTCTAAGGAGGGCTATTTATGTTTGGGTGGTGACAATGTATATTGGCCAGTCTGCTAAGGAACTGATAAAGATGCCTAGGCCCCCATGTCCACCAGCCATTAAGATGGAGAGGCGTTATGAAATGGAGTATGGAATGCCGTCAACACACGCTATGGTCGGCTTACTAATGCCGTTCACATTATTGTTGACTAGCATTGGGCGCTTTGAGGTATGGTAGGCTTAGGAGTATTCATTCAGAATCTGTATATATATATATATATATATAAATATATACAAAATATGATCAGCGACGTATAAGATCAGCGACGTATAGTGCTCAATGCGAATGCAGAGCGCAATAATAATAATAATAGAAAGTTATGTCAAGCGTGAATTTACAGCTGTAGAGTAAATTCACGGTTGACAACTGAAGTAAACTATCGCAATTATTACAAGCAGGGTGCTCAATAGTAGACCAGAGCGGATATAAATATAAAAAAAGCTCCAGCTCTATGAGTCCCAGTGCTCGGAAAGGATTTAGTTATATATATATATAATGCAAAAACAATGTTTTTGCATT